TCCCTTCCAACCCTAGAAACTATGAAACTATGAAAAACACACCACTGGGGAGTACAGCGAACCAGGCTAACCCAGCAAGAGACAGAAGTAAACCTCCCTCCTTGCTCCACCACGTGGGCTTACCATCCTTTTCCTCTTCAGAGCCTCTGTCCGAGATGCCACTCTTACTGGGCAGGCTCAGCCCAGCCAGGAGAGACTTCAGCATTGCTAGGTCACTGTTATCTGATGAGAGGTCACTACAAGGAGAAAGGAGGCATTTTTTGCATAAAACAGCAACAGCTTAGCACACGTGTGTAAGGAAAAGGAACACCTGAGGGACATGTGTCAGAAAGCGAATGAATATGGAAAGGAGCAAAGCCTGGCTTCAGTGACTGCAGGAGAAGACAGCCACAAGGAAGAACCAAAAGGAAGACACATGAATGGAAACAGCAGGCCAGAATGCAAACATAACTGGTGAGGCAGCTCCAGGATCCTTCTCTCTTGCAACCAGGACTAAATGACAGTCAGCACAAGGCCCATATGTTGGACCCTCTGCTGCTGCCTCTGGGACCAAGTGTAAGCCAGTGCAGTTCGGCTGAGAGTGAAGAAGTGGCAGGGGAAATGGAGTGAGGTTGGGACTTACTGGAGTGGGTCAGCGTGTTTCTGCAGGAAGGACACAGCGGCCTGGGGGTTGCATGTGATGTACTTGTGAATAAACTGGACGAACTTGGTGATGAAGGCGGCCAGGTGACGGGAGGACTTCCTGTAGTTCTGAAAGAGGGGGAGAAGCTGCTTCACAAACCACACAAGTGTGGGGGCTCATCCCCCATTCACACAGCACTGTGCAATTGGGTGCATGCACAAAAATATTCTACACAGGACCCCCACAGCCAGGTACCAACTCTCCTCTGGCAGCTGGCTGCCAATGCAGTGATGGATCGTACCAGCAACAGGCGAATGAAGGAGAGAAGACAGTCCCACAGAGCCACCTGGTGTTCGTTCTGGAACACCTGTGGCTGCAGAAGCTCCAGGATGCCCAGGACATGGATGAAAAAAGTCAGGTGGTTCTGCTGTCTGAACTCCTGGAAGTTGAGATGAACACGCCCATGCAGCAGAGCTGCAATCATTGGCAAGTGCCTGAAACCAAGGAGCAGAACATTCATCTCCAATGCCTTCCTACAGCCACCAAAGACAGGCTGAGCTGCATGCAGTGAGCATAACTGGCAATCAGACAATCATCTGCCAGGCACTGCAGGTTAATGCTTCTAGCCCACAGACCAGGTCCTAACCATCTTCTAGGCTACCACTGGAGGCATTGGCCATGTTGGTAACAAGGGAATGGGCCAAAATGAGGTATAAATAGCCCAGTGCATGCTACTTCTACTAAGTTGGCTTAAGAGCCAGCTTCAGTATTGAAACCCATGGGAATTGTCTAGTGGCTAACACCATTTGCCTAATTTAAACAGCTGCCCCAGTAACCTGGAGTGTTTTAAGTGACTTATACTGCAGCAGAACCAGCCGTGAGGTGGCCCAACTCACTCCAAGGAGGAAGTTTCTCATGATTTTCACTGTGTTGGTGCACAGATCCATGTCCATTAAACGAGCAAGGACAGGAGGACCAGTTCTCTGACCCTCATTTTCAAGACTTCTTCAACTGACACTAAATAAAAAGACACACCCCTTAGGAAGACAGCCAGCCAGAAGTGTTGCTAGCTGCATCATTGCTTTCACACACAGAAGCATGATCAGGTTTGCAAGGGAAATATCTTCCGGAGTAGGGGGCTAATGTGGATGGAAACGTCCAGCTGAATAGCTCTGGACAAAGAGAAGGGGCAGTACCTAAGCAGAAGGATGGGGTGAGCCACAGCCAGCTTCCTGCATGCCATGTTGGCATCCCACACACGGCTTTCAGATGACTTGGAATCACTGGTGTCTGCCAGAAGGGTGATGAATCTGTGAACCAGGGCATCAAGCTGGAAGAATTGCAACAAGAGGAAAGTTAAGTTAATAAAAGATTTGGCTCCCCAGCTTTATCAGTGAGGTTTTCAAGTCCTCCACATGATTTGGTTAGGAAGAAGGTCAAGTTGGTTTAGGTAGAACTTGGGATAAGCCAGCAGCCTTCCAACTGCCTCAGGATCCAAGACCCAATGTCCCCAACAGCAAAGTGGGACCTGAAGGCTACTTGTTTCTGCTCCACACAACTCTGAGGGGCCTAGCAGTGTGGGAGGATGCAGGAGCTTGAGTTAAGCCTTCATCACACAGAGCCTTGCAGAGTTCATAGTGCCACGGATCTAGCAAGGACACTTGGAAGTAATGGGTTAGGGAGGAGACTGGAGTCATCTCAGTCAGCACTTGCTCACTCTCCTGGGGCAATTGCCCATTCTGGTCACAGCAATCTGAGAGGTGAGAAACTGGGACTGCTGCTTGCTCTCCCATCTACCTTACAGGTGCTGCCGTCTGTGGCGCCCTCGCTGGTCAGTAGCATCTCAGGCATGGGTATGAGGAGCTCTGGGAGCTGCAGGTAGATCTGCAGGAGAAGGTCTTGGCAGCATTTCCCCACTGAGCTGAAAAGAGAATGTAGACAACCCAGCACCGTTACATTTCCCAGTGGGGCTGCCTGATTCTTCAGCAAGAAGCTCTGCCATTTCCAAACTGCCTTGGAGCATGTGGCAAGCCAGCCCTAGTCATCCTCCCACAGTGGAGCTCTCATGCACGATGCCAGCACTATAAATACAAAGAGGTAATCCCTCATCTCAGACAGGGCTACAGGCAGGAACGCGCCTGTAGGACATGGCCCACACGCATTCAGCGCACCTGCTCTCCATGTGGCAGTCATCCCCTGCCCTGCAAGGGACACTGATTACACAGCCTCAGCCAGTCTGCTCCCACTCCGCTGGTCCATGATTGACATTGGCTTGTTTTACAGACATGAGCATGTCAGCCCTGCAGAGCCAGGGACACTCTGAGCAGGCAGGCGATGCTCCAATCTGCCTCCGGCACGGCAAAAACGGTCAGCTGTTTCAGCTGCACAATGGATTCCCAGAAACAATTTAAGCAGCAGGGGAGATGAACATATTTCCAGGTCCCCGAGGTGGGAGTGGGCAGGGCCTGCTGGGCTGGCAGCTAGGAACAACATGCCCTGACTTCTGAAATGGAGTGACCTGGATCCCATGTCACTGGAGAGAGAACCAAGTCCCTGCCCTGATCTTCACAGTGCCCTGTGAGTTTTTCCAAGGTATCTTACTGATGAGTTTTCAGATGCTCTCTGGAACATGGTAATTGCCACGAAGCTGCCTGGGCAAGTCTTATTCTGGCCACCTTGCTGCCCAAACACTGCCTGAATAACCACGATTAGTGCCTGCACAGCTCCCACCCATTGCCACAGCCTCACCTGTTCCCCCACTGCTGGATGCAGCCAGTCAGATACTCTGTTACTTTTTTAATGCTCTCCACATCCCCATGGCAACAGCTGAGCAACAGGGGCAGCCGTGACTGGATGAGTGTGCAAGAGGCCTCCTCTGTGCTCTGGCTCCGGGTTTCTGCCTCAGCCAGGACTAGCTCCACCATGCTGATTAACTCCGGTGCCTTCAGCTGGAGCACAAACTCTTCCCGACGTTTCTGCAACAGCAGGGATGCTTGTGAGGGGAGGGCGGAGGCAAGGCCTAGCCCATCACTGCCTCTCTGTCATTTGCTCCCCTCAGATCAATCAGAAAGGCAAACTCCCTCTGGGCTCGCTCTCAAAACTGCCCAGCAGCCACGGCTGGGAAACTAAGCACCCCCACCCCAAACAGCAAGGGTTTTAACTCCACTTCCGCCAATTTCCCACAATGCAACTGCTTCCATCTTATTGCACTTGCCTAGCTAAGAACTTTCCTAATGAAGCTCAGCCTTCATTGCAAACAGCTTTCCACTGCAGAAGGGGGTTGCATTACCTGTCTAAAGAGAGCATTATGATTGCGCTCCAGTCCTGAGTGCCTCTAGTGAAGCTAGTTCTGAGTGAGTGAGCAACCCAGCTGCAAGTTCAGCACAGCACCAGGGAACTCCCCAGGGGAACCATACAGCCATGCTGGTTTTGCTGCAGTGAAAGCTTGACAGCTGGGTGTGAATTTTCATTGACAATTATCAAAACTACAAACCCAACACTAATGTGCACCTGAGCAGGGAGCCCAACATGATGTTCCTGCCCCTGGCCACGAGGAGTCAGGCAGCATGAAAAGGATGCTCCATCAATTCTGCAGATGAATTAACCCCTACCTGGGGAGTTCTCTGGTCCCTGCCCTGCCAGATCCGTGGGATGTGAATGCAGGCCCACAAGAAATCCAAGGATGCAGTTGGGTCAAACCTGCCAGGGTGCAAGAGAATAAGAAGGGATTCAAAGGCAAGTGTGGGAATGGAACCTATGCAGCCCTTCAGCACTAGTCACCCATGGGGCAGGCATGTTTACAGATCCCTAGCACCTTGGATCAATGTATCCATGGGATTCAAAGCCAGTCCAGAAAGGAGACTTGATCCTGCTCCCAGAGACTATCTGAGGATTTACTATAAGGGCAGCACAAGGGTGGGACACCTTGAGAAAGCACTCAGCCAGGGATGCAGGAGTCTTGTGGAAGCCAAATACAACCAGGAGCTGGTCACCAATTCAAGTGATGCTTAACACACAGGATTCAAAAAGGCAGGAGAGAGGGTAACAATGGATGGATAACACAGTAGATGCTTCCTGCGTTCACAGGCTACAGCACGAGTCTGATCCCCCTGTGCAACTTCCATTAGATAATGTCCATATCAAGCAAACTAAACAGAAACTGGAACTAGGCACCTTCCCACCAAGCAACAGAGCTGATTGGAGGGGGAAGATCAGCAAGAGAAGCTACATCCTTCACTGTCCAATTTCTTGTCCTTCTTGGCACATGCTGGATTAGCCTACACAAAACTCCTCAACCAGACCAATGGGGAAGACTCACCTCTGCTCCCGGTTTTTGCAAAGCAGAAGCCTGATGCACTGGTGCAGTGTGGTCCAGCTCGACTGATGAGTGAGGAGAGCCAATAGGTATGGACGAAAAGAGGGTATCTGGGATCCAGACTGATCCTTGGCCTGAAAGAACCAAGGAAAGAAAAATGTGAATCCATGCGGGTCACTGAACTGGAGAAGACAGGACACCAGGATACTATGGGAAGATGGAGACACAGGTAGAACAGCAGAAATGGGGACCTCAGTTTAGAACAGCTGTATTGCCTTGCAATCAGGGCATGGGACTGGGAGCCACCACACTGACTTCCAACCTTGTCCTTGGCCCAGCATGTACTTGGATAGCTATGTACCTTCTGTGTCACCATCTAATGGGAAAACCTAGTTGATAGGGCTGTTGGGGGACTATGCCCTTAAAGTGCTTTGAGGTTCAGAAATGCAAATGTTCAGCTATAGCAGCGAGAGACGGTGCAAAAAAGATCCACACAGGGTCCTCAGAGACCGCTGGTTCTCTTCTGCAATTGGCGTAATGGCATAGAGTAGGGTCCAAGAACCTTTCCCACCCTGCTGACCAGTAGAACAGTCTAAAGGAGTCAGTCTTTAAGGGTGAGGCCCAAGAAAAGTGACTTAGTTTAGATGTATTCTTAGTTGTGCAACCCTCACCTTGTTCCAAGAGAAAAGCAGCCTTTGCTGGAGGTCTGGGCAGCTGCTGATGACTTCTGGATCCAGCATCTCCAGCCAGTCAATGAAAAGGCCTGAGGATGGCCCTAGCCAAGCAACCTCACCACTGAAGAGAGAAGAGATGTCAGTGAGGTTGCCACAAAACCAGACAAAGCAAAGGATACCCACTAGCCTTGGGACTAACCTGCAGCTTTCCATCTCCTTCTTCACAGGCGTCTCCTCTTTCTCCTGGAGCAGCAGAGAGCTCACTACAGCAATTGGTCTCATGGCAGGAAACCGGGCTGTGGTCTCAACAGCAGCAAAGAGGGTGGTCAGAAGCTCCTCCACATAAGGAGAGCGTGTCTCAATCAGACCTTGGAGGACTAGCAGAGACAAAGTTTCAGAAACTGTGAAAAGCAGTGCGGAGCCTGATGACTACACTTCATGAGGACCCTTCATACACCACTGCCTTAGAGTGCTGGGGAAAAAGGCAGACCCCTGCACTCAAACTACCAGCAGCAAGCCTGGTTCTTATAGGACAGCCATGCCCCAAGCAGCTTTAACATAATAGTACAATAAAAAGAGCTATAACAACACAGGAGCAAGCTTAATTTGCTCAGGAGAACAAAGGCTGCCTCTATAGTTCTGCAACGACACGTTCACTCCCTCCTGTGTCTCCATCCTCTGTGGCTTGAAGAGGGAGGACAGGACAGATGTACCTTTGCTGACAAGCTCTGGCTCCACGTTGCACTTCTCTCCTGATTTCACGGTTGTGATGACAGTGCGCAGTGTGGAGCTAACCAAGTCGGGATCCCGACGGAATGCCAGTGCTTCAGCCAGGTGTAGGAAGCCACTGCGGACTGTAGGGAGATCACACGATTGGCACCACTAGAACTACACGAGGGCCCTCAGCTGTAGCAACCAGCCGTGGCCTCTCATGTGAACTACACCATCAGCCCCTGCTCTGTTAAGAGATCCACATGTGAAACCAGCATGTACTGGCTCCATTTCCCTCCCATAAGTAACCCCCAGCTGACAGTGGTGCCGCCAGGATCAGGCACACACAGCTAAGAGAAAAACCAGGGTTACAATCCTAGAAAATACAAGTAAACACAAGGGCTAATCAAGTCCAGTCCTCAAGCCTGAGCTCTGGGCTGCATTCTCCAGAACTCCCTTCCCCTAAGGGCAAACTGTAATATTAAAGATGGTGTGAATTTGTTGTGCCTTGCAGTCACCTGAATGCCTTGCATGACAATTACCATCAGCACATTATCATGTCTGAGCAGCAGTGCTGAGATCTCCAACCCCTCTGGCCTGCTCTACAAAAACATCCATGGATGGGCCTTCCTTTAAAATCCTCCCCACACTGAATCATTTGGACTGAATAATGCCTCCATCATAACAGGCGGACATGAGCTCAAGTAAAGCCTCTCCTGGGCTAGCACAAGCAATTTTGGGGGATTCACAACATGCAGAGGCATGACCCACCCCTACATCCTACCCAGGGAGAGGGCAGACAGCACTGCACTCTAGATGTGGTTTTGGGTTGCACCCTTCTCTGCTCTGCCCCACCATCTATGCAACGCTTCGCACCGTCATTGATCCTGTGCCGCGCTGAGTACTGCACAGCAAATGACTTGAGCTGGGCATTCAGAGGCCCATCTTCCACAGCAGGGTTCTCCAGCCACTGCAGCATCTGCATAAGAACTTTAAAGAAGAGCGAAGAGAAGGCCGTGTCCTGGGGCATGCAGCGCTGGGGAGAGAACACCAAGAATGACAGGAGAAGCGCATGAACACAGGGTTAGGGGAGGCACAGCCAGGTGGCCAGACCAGGTGCTGCCAGCCTCCCACCTGGAACAGCCATGCAGTGACCTGTAGCAGCCAAGTAAACATGTGGAAGGACTCACTGCAAAACATCTTGATACAGCTAGTCACCTAAGACTCCTTGCTTTCCTCTACCAATGCAGCATGAGATAACCTCAGCCTGTTCTGAAGGCCAGTGCTATACTGCAGTTACTGCTCCCTGAGACTCCATGCGGCCAGTACCCCCCCCTTCTTAGTTTTCAAAGGGCTCCCTTCCCACCACCAAACCACTGCATGCTAGAAAGAAGCCTGGGCCCACACCCCACCTGGTACTGGTAGAGTTGCCGCATCAGTGGGCAGGAGATGAAGTGGTTGTGGTGCATTGCCATGACCAGGGTCCCACTGTGTGGAGAGTTCAGCAACGCTGCCACTGCCTGGAGGAGACGGGCTGCAATCCCTGCCGTCTGCACATTCCCCTGGCGGATGCGGGCCAGCTCCTGCCCCAGGGCCTGCTGCAATGCCAGGGAGATGGGGCGCAGGTTTGAGCTCTGCCACCGGGGATCAGGGTTCAGGGGAAAGAGCTGAGAGGACAGAGAAGAGCAGTGGTTTGTGAGAGAACAAAAAGGACCACTGGTGGAACATCCCACAGTCAAGCAGGGACTGCAACACAGGCTCTTTCCTGACATGTCGCCTGGCAGCAGTCACTAGATGAGATGGGCACCACAGTCCCAGCTTCTGTGTCCAACAGAAGAACACAGTCCAAGTCCTAGGCACGTGGCCCCAGTGAGACCATTAAGCCCAATCCTTTTTTTTATATATCACATCCTGAACATTCAGATTCATCCCTGCCACACTGCCAAGGGGCAGCATGCTATGGAGGCTGGAAATTCAAGACAGCCACGCTAAGAGACTTCCCCAGAGAACTGCTACTCATGGCAGAGTTGAGAAGTGAAACCAACACTACCAACTCCATGGTTTAACTGCAGGATCTTGCCATTACCTTAAAGCCAAATACCCTAGAGCAGGGGTTGTCAACCTGGGGGTATGCATACCCCCAGGGGTACTTGGGAGGACTTTAGGGGGTATGCATGAGCAAGCGGGGACAGAGCGCAGCCACCCACCACCCCATGCCTCTGCCTGCCAGAAGCAGGGCTGGGGTGGAGAGAGGACAGCAGTGCCTCTCTGCGGGCTGCACAGGCACTGCCTAGTGGGCCAGACGCAGGAGGGAGGGCAAGCTTGCACACGGCGGCTGCCGCCACTTCCCACCATTCTGCGCTGCTGCCACTCTGTCTGGCCACGCATCCCACCCCCCATAAGTGCAGGAGGTCAGAGGAGTTCATGAAGCCAAACAGTGCAGTGCCAAAGTTGGGAGCCTGGAAAAGACACTCCAGGGAAGTGGCTGCAGAAAATACTGCTTTGTAAATCCAAGATCGAGGCAGTACCTGAAGAAACATGCCTGCCAGGTCATCCTCTGGGCCCAGGACCCGGATCTGCGTCAGGGCCCGAATCCTGCCCTGTCCTTGCGGGGTCTCGGGACTAATTTTTGGCCTCGGTGTCTCCGTGCTGTCTGCAGAGAGATTAAACACAGGCAAGAGTCTTCAACTGGGGCCCAAGGAAGAGATTTTCCCCCAGCACTACAATCTTGTTAGTTGGTGTCATGCAAACAACAGCTTTATTTCCATATAGGCCAAACAAGAGAAGCCGAGTAACAAAGGAAACCTAAGGCAGATTCCATCATAGTCAAATACTCTAGATGCACGAGACTTTCTCCTCTAGCCCAGGAGGGGAGAGCAGAGACCTCCCTAGAGCTGGTGTACATAGGTAAATCAGCATTTAGGAAGACCCACTCCCCCTCCCAGCTCTGAAACAAGCTGAAATACAACTAGGTACAGACAAGGCAGACTGTGTCTGGTTTTGACAAAGGCTAAGGTGAACGGTCCATGAGCAGGCTCTGATCCAACAAAGATGAGGGTAGGCTGTGCAATACCTCGGCGTGTTGGCAGAGAGGCGGTAAGCAGAGAGTGGAAGGTCTGGCCCCCAGTAGCTCCTCTCTCATGCTGAACTTCTACAAGATGAGCCATGTAATCTGAAAAAAGAACAAGAGATGACCACGGCCTCCCTTCATCGCCCAGTCAGAACAGAAGAGGTAGCCAGCCATGCAGCTCCTACTTGGTAAGCAAGAGGAAAAACACCAACATAAACAAACCCCAATTTCCTTAAAGCCAGCAGCTGCCACTCAAATGATTCCCAAACTCTCCAGCCAGAAACCCCTTCCCCACCTTGGGGAAACATGCCTAAGGCCTCCCAAAATGCGGCTCCATCAAAAAACCCAAGTGAGCCTGACAGAGGAATCACCAAGCTAGTTTGGGTCCTCAAAAGAAAGCTGCAAAATACTTCACACTAACAAAGCAGGTTGAAAACAAACAGCAGCTCTAGAAGGAGATGTGTTCCCAAACAGCCTGACCCCTGGCTCTTACTCTTGTCCATGATGTTCTGCTCCAGTGTCTGGGGGTCGTGGGATACTGCCTGATCCAGGTACTGAAGGAGTTTGCTCATGCTGGAGACTGGGATACCAAAGGACTGAACAAAGAGAAGCAGTTGCTGGGGTTCCAGGTCCTGCAGAGCTGAGAATATACAAGAGGCCTGTCAGAAACCTGCATCCCTCACTCAAAGGACATGTCCCTTAGCTGATTCTTTTGGGCTGGGATGCATCAGCAGTGACATATTTCCTAACAGAGCTGTAGCAGGCCTTGAGCCAAACTGACAGCTGCTTGCCATATTTCCTTTGTTCTGCACATATTTCTCTTCTTATTATATCTTCTAGTTAATTCACTCACTGGTTAATTTGATCTTCCATTTAATTTGATAAAGAACCAGATCATTTGTATTAAAAATAACTCCTACCCAATCCGTTGATGACTGCAGGCAGGAATTATTGAATAATTCAATCACTGGTTATGTAGAGCTATCATTTCATTAGCAAGGAAGGGACAAAAGCTCCAAATGCAAAGAATGAGAGCAGTGGAGAGCCACGTGATAAGAAAAGTGACCGTAACCAGAAGCTGGGCTGCAGTCAGACACTGCCAGGGTTATGCAAGCTGGAACATATACAACACTGGAGAACATATAGGTGAGCTAATTAATTCAAATCACGACAAAAACAGACTTGGTATAAATCAGTGGGGGTCAACCTTTTTTTTCCACAGGCATGCCATAAATTAACCCCACACCCTCCCTGAGTGCTACTCTGATCCCTTTCCCTTACCCAATCTGCTATTCTGTCTTCTACTCCCTACCCAAGATGCTCCTCTGCTTTCTGCTTCCTGCCCTCTGCTTCACACCTGATCTACTATGCTGCTTTCTACTCCTTGCCTTATTTGCCACCATGTTGCTTGCTCCCCGATCTGCTGCATCACATACAGCGGTTGCCTGTGTCACCTGTGGTATCTGCCACAGACTGGCCACCCCACTATAGGTAAAAGGAAGGCCTTGCATACAGTTTCTGCAGTCCCTCACTTCCTTTAAATAAATGGAAAGGCTCAGTCTTTGGCCAGGTAGTACAGACTTCAAGACTTCAACAACCAAAGTGTTTCCTTACCAGAGCTGGAGTAAGGGTTAGCTAGGCATGAACAGAGCTCAGAACAGAGCTGCACTCTTCTCAGTGGGGCCTGAAGGAAGAGGGCTCTTGTCTCCCTTCGAGTCCCAGTTCTCTGCTAAATGCTACTGTTTATTCACTTCCCACCAGTATTAGCTTTCTGGGATGTGAGGACCTACCTCCCTCTTTCCACCCCCCAGCCTTAAATGCTGTTTGCTGACCCCCACATACAAAATACATGTTTTTAGCAGAGAAAGAAATTGTACGTGGGCAACACAAACCAGCACTAAAGGGTAGGTGGAGAGGCCCCGTTTGCCTCCCCTCATGAGCTGGCCCAACTCCTTAAGTCTCTGTGTGATGGACAACCTTTGGCAATTGGGCCAGTGCAGCAGGGCCTTGTGCCTGGAGGCCGAGTGACTTTCCACCGCAAAGGAAGAAATGAGAAGTAGCTAACAGACAGTCCTCTCTAAACTCAAGTTCCCTCTGGGGCCAACAGTGACCTGCATCCCCATCAGACAGATCTAGATCATGCATGGGCTCAAGAAGGGCTAAGACATACTAGAGCTCCCAGTCACTAGGCCTGGCTGATACAACCTTCCCATTTCCTCAGCTTCAGGGATTCCCACAGGAGGTCCCTTGGGCTCGGCTCACCTGCATCCACTAGGCGAGGAACCTCGGAGCGGATCATGCGCAGCTTGAGCCAGTCAGGAAGCAGCAGAGCCTCCTCTGAGGTGTCCACAAGAAAGGCTGTGGGGAGCGGCTTCTTTTCCGGGAACCAGATGTCCAGCAAGGTGTAAAAGTCACTGTCCCCTACTTAAAGGTAGGCACAGAAGTTACTCTATATGGGTACTGAGTGCATATTACATTCCCTGCCCTTCTCAGCAGACATCAGGCCATTTCTTTGCATGACCCCTCTACTCTAGTGAGGAAACAAACTAAACACCAAGAAGAAAGAAGGGTCACCTGATCAAGCAGAGAGCTCCTAATTAGCACCATGCAGGATTTGGTGCTACTAGTTCAAACATACCTACTGAACTGCAAGGTGGATTTACGATATTCCAATGGACCCCAAAAGCCCATGAAATGTTTTGTCTGTTACTCGTTATGCACAAAATATATATATACACACATTTTAACTCAACCAGACAGAGAAGTAACATGGAGCTCCCTAGGCAATTTTAGAAGGCACAAAACGTGCTCAAGTAAAAAGGGTCTATGTGAGCACCACACACCGCCCCCCTACATTCTCCCCCTTCCAGTTGCTCTTAATTGCTGCATCTAGTCAGGAGTTAGGAACAGGAACCCTTGCTGGGGAAGGAGGGGGCTTGTTGGCCAGGTGTCTCACTGCTGGTGTTCACATTTTAAATAGCCAGCAATGGAAGAGGGGTTGAACATGCAGGCATGTGACCAAAGATGAGGGCCCTTGGGAAAAGCCTTTCAAAAGGCATAAAGGCACGCGGGAGTTGGAAAGAGAAACAGAAGGCATCTGTTTGCCTTTGAAAGTTGCCTCCACTGTGCAGAGTCTGTGGGGTGATGAAGGGCACCAAGGCAAGCATAGGAAGGGATAATGCACAGGTTGTTATGTCTGACAGAGCAGAGGGGAAATCACTTAACACCACAAAGGGGAGGGGAGGGGGGGGGAAGAGGCATGGTTGGCTCCCAAGTCCATGTTCCCTGGGTCACACAGAGAAGTGGCTAAGACTAGGTAGTAACAGCAGGAAGAGTGCAAGTGCCCTCCTCCCACAGACCATGCACTGATATGTGGAGAAGCCACGAAGAGGTATGGAGAGACCTGATGCAGATAGTCAGAAGCTGGAACACTGCTTAGTCTGAGACCCTAACCAGGATCCCCCAGGAGACTACAGGCAGAAAGACAGCTCCTTGACTGTAGATGTGGGGCAGGGGAGACTGCACACCCAGATCCATGCCCCAGAGCAGCAACTCCCATGAATCATTCAAGCACCACATCACCAACCTTGAGGAGGTCCCAGGGTCAGCAGGATGACCATGGCATGGACCACAAGGATGTGCATCGTGGCAGTTTCCCCACTGGTCCAGCGCAGGAACACCTGATCCTGGGACTCAGACTGCCGGAAAAGAAAGATCAGGAAGGGAAGTGGAGAAATGAGACATGTTGCCAGCTGGAGGAAAAGGAGGGATCCAGGGAAGGAGGGAGGAGGACCTACCCAGCTGTACACTTCCTCGCCTTCCTTGCTCTGGCGCATGCGTCTGATGTAGTGAGAGAAGACACAGAGCAGAGCAACCAGCACTGCGTCCGACTCAGCACAGTAGGAGAGCTTAGAGAAGAGGTGGGACATGATGGTGGAGCGCTCCACAATGAGCCTGGCCACATCCTGCAGAGACAGGACATCCATGAAAGCCTTTGCATGGCACCAGCCCCATGCAGTCATCTCCTCCCTCCGGCTTCAGTTGCTGGAAAAAATCTTAATCCAACTGACCCTGCCCCAGATTAACCCTCAAGTCCCATTTTACACACGGGGGCACAGGGTTATGCACACAACCGTACTCAGAGGAAATGTTCACCACAGTACAAGACATGGCCCAAATTTCTTTTCTTCCTTATAAGGCTCCAACACATCCCCATTCCCATGCTCTACAATGGCAAAGGGGAGCTCTATCAGGCTTAAGGTTTGTCATGAGGTTGGCAGACTTAGATTTCATGGTATTTACTCTTTCAACAACAGACATGGCACTGGACCCAGAGAGAGAGGACAATTAATCCACCCTGCAGTTTCCCAGAAGGTTGTTAGACACCGAGAGGCAGTTCAGGGGATTCTCTAGGGGACCCATATCCCAACTGAACAAAAGCACAAGGGAAAAGAAGAGAAAATGGCAGCAAAGCAGCCTGGAAAAATCTATAGATGGGGATAACTACCAAAAATAGCCAGGTACCAGAGAGGCCAATGATGACTCAAAATAGAAAAACAATTCAGGTGCCCTGTTTTGGTTACTACAGAAAGCATAGTGTCTCGAGATGTTTGTTATCCTAGCACGATCCTAACTGCCAGTCATTTACCATGACATACCCAGGGCTGGCCACCTCAGCAGCTGCATTATACCCATACTCTCACATTTGCCACCTACATCCCAGATCTGACATGCGCATGCCATCTAACTTCTGTGACAAATGCAAATCAAAAAGGCCTCTGTATATCCCCACCACAAGGTGGGTAGCTTGTATAGCTCATTAGCAGCAAGGAGTTATAGAGCAGAAAGCTGCTGGGATCAAGGTGCTACCCTCTGAGGCCCCCTGCCAGGCTCTCACCAGAGCTAAGTCATTGTGCTGTCCCTGCTCCTCCACTGGTGCATGCTGGGAAAGGTATACCAAATAAGCACTGATGGTCTGAGGGTCAGTCTCCATGTGGATAGCCTGGAATGACAAGGAGGAGCACTATTAAGTTACACCTGCTTGCACTTGTTCTGGTTCCGTTTAGCTCCAAGAGGACAGAACACTCTAGACCCTCTGAGCAGGCCACTCTTCTCCACAAGTACACCCACTCTGGCTGCTCCTACTTGTACTTACTTGTTGCAAGGCAAGAGCTGTAGTCACCCTAACACTGTCAAACAACGGCAGGCGTGGTAAATCCCTAAGCAGCCATTGATACCCCTGCAGGAGTTCAGAGTCACCAGAGTCTTCTTCCATAGGATGATCTTTCTCCTCTCCATCGCGCAGTCCCCCTTCCGACAGCACCAAGGACAGGCCCTGCAGGCAGACACCCAACAGATAAAGCTCATATACATAAAGACACAGCCTGAAAATGGTTCCAAAACTGAACTATAAACTAAGACCCCCCCCTCCCCCTGAATGGAAAGAGTCCCCAACGCCATCCCACTGCAATAATCAGAAATCAGCTATTTACATCTAAGTGGCAACCAAAGAAACCATACACTTCACACATGGGATAGCTAAGGCCTGTATCCATAATCAGAAAGGTATGCTTGGAGCAGAGGTTAGCAGTTTTTGGTACAGCCAATATGAAAGCTCTAGGAAACAGAAGGGAAGAGTTTGAAGACAAACATGGGGGTAGAGAAAGGCACTGGATCTTAGCTCAAAAGGCAATGTAGATACAGATGGCAGCCCCATTAAAAAGATCTACCAAGCCCCAGAGTGGCCAGAAGCCCACTGGCAGGGCTCTGCCCACTGCTTCTGGAAAACCTAAACCAGCTGCACCCTGTTCTTCTCACCTTCATGGCCAGAACACGTGAGGCCACCTGGGATGAACTGAGGCGCCGCAGAAAGTAGTCAAGCACTTCACATGTTGTCTGCTCATCAGCTTTGGGGCCCAAGAGCAAGTCCTGCAGACGCCCCAACAGCTGCCTTTGCTTCTGCTGCCTCTGTGGAGAGACACATTGCCATCCAGTGAGAGCAAGTTGGAACCAGGCCCTTAACAAACACCTGACCTGGAACTGAGCAGGGGCCCCTCACCTGGCGCTTCTTGGCACGTTGCTCTTTGCTCTCTCCCTCCTCCTCTTCCTCACCGGAGGCAGACTCATCAGCAGCATCATGCAACAGGAACTCGCAAAGGCACTGCACCGGAAGGACATCCAGGGAGCCCTCGCTGGACTGCACCAGGTCTGCCAGCCATGGCATGGACTGGGAGGAGGCCTTGGGATGAGGACAGTGACAACAATAAGCTGGTGGAACCAGGATCCCACATGCTTCGCATGCCCAATTGGCAAGAGGCTGCCACAGATTGCAGCAAGATGCGACCAAGAGAAATGAACCATTTTCAGGCCCCTCTGGCTGCTCCCATGCTTCCTCCCAGCCACACAGAGACTCTCCCAGGACCTCAGAAACCCACCTGCCTCTGGATGATGTTGAGCAGAAAGTCCGGGTGGCGGCTGCGACAGAGAAGGTGCCCTAAGCGCAGGGACTGATTGAGACTTTTCACCTGCTCCAGGACATGTGGTGGAGGTCTGCGTGGGGGGCCCCTGCCAGAGACACAAGCAGGACAAGCACATGGCTGATTGCTCCTTCACTAAGATGCAGAGTTTGCAAAAAGATATGCACATGCTGGGGAAAAGGGAAAGGCAGGGGTACTCTATGTGGAAGGGCCCTGGTTCTTTTGTCCTACAGCTCCTCACTCACTCTGGTCAATACTGTCCTGTTTCTCGCCCGACTCTTTCCCAAAAGCTCATACACTGGGCTTTTTCCTCAGCCCCATGAGAGCTTCAGCCTTGTTCCTCCCTGTGAGTCCTGATGCTAGGGCGGAACCAACTGCAGTGTGAAGGCTACTTACTGTGGGTCCAGGCTGGTCAGCTGAGACAGCAAGAGGCTGCTGCTCTCTGTAATAGTTTGCTTTGTGGATGCAGCAGCCAAGTGACCCTCAAATGCCAGAATTTCCTGCTTCTCCCGCTGAGAGATTTGAAGCTCGCGATTAATCATCTCTGTGCGGGTCTCTTCATCCGTCAGGGTGCAGGGAGGGTAGGAGTAATTACTGGAAGAAGAGTCAGAGTTACTTGCTCAGCCCAGAACCTCAAGGAAGGTCAAAGAGTCAAAATGCTGCAATGTTTCTATTTCCAACAGCCAGTGAAAATGCCAGTAGGTCTTCCAAACGAGCAGGGGTATGAACACTTGCCAAGAAAGCACTTCCCACTGCCACCCCGGCCTGTGCAAAGCCTGGCTCCACTGCTCACAGGGGTCCCTCTCTCTCTAGGCTCGACCACAGCTGCCATCCCACAGAATTCACTTTGGCAAGCTTTGTCCCACAATCCCATCTTCCCACCCAAGCGGGAGAGAAGGAAAGGAACTGGTCCACTGTAACTTTGGTTCAAAAAGCTGAGTCTAAGAGTGAAAATAAACTGAAAGACATAACTAACTTGGTCATAACCATCTCCATGAGCATCTTCAGTGAGGGGTACTCCTCCCAGGCAGCAAAACCTGCAGCACAAGAGGAAACAACAGTCAGGCGACTGGACCCCCACTGTCTACTCCTACCGCAACACATTCCACCAACATTCTGGACAGCTGCTAGCATGGTTTCTAGCTTGTGCTTCCCCTCTAGACAACTCCACCCCTTCCCATCCACTTCTTATAACCCAACGCACAACCACCGAGTAAACAGAGTAAACTTCAGCCTTCCCCACATGCACCTTCAGCACGGACAGCAAGACTAGCACAAAGCACCCTGTAACAGACTCTTGCAGCCCGATGGCATTCCAACTCACCAATGTTTTCAGGGTTGAACGCAGCCACGACGAGGAGAAGAGGCCAAGCCTTCCAGTAGAGAGTAGAGATAGCTAGATTTGGAGGCTGATACCTGGAAAAAGCCATTTCCAGGTTTATTGTTTGCATGCAGAACTACTGCTCAGCCTTGGGCCATTTATATGTGGTATCATTGCCTTGCAGACACACCAGTTCAGTGCTCTTCTCAGGTGAGCGCAGACAGAGAACTGGAAGAGGCAGCCTCAGATACCAACTGCAGACAGGACCCAGAGCTTCTCCACTGTTATTGATCCTCCCTGTGCTCTGAAGGACTTCCCAACAGAATGAGACCTTGAGGAAGGTACCATTACTCTTGTCTGTATTGTAACACTGCAAAAACAAGTGTCTTACATCTGGGGGCCCATCTTGCCAGCAACAGCATGAAAAGGGGCTAGAATATCATATACAGGCTTATACACGTGACCTTACCCTGCTGGCAGCTGGATGTTCTCTGGGTGGTGGTAAGTGCACAAGTTCAGGACTGCATCAATCAGCTGGATTCTCTCCACTCTCAGAACCTCTACATCTAAATAGAAAAGGGTAGAGAGGTGTAAATGGGGGAACTGGACTGAAAGTCATTTAAGGTACAAGGTAATAGATCTTACAGTAGAGACTAACAAAGTCTCGGATCACAGGTTTTTATGGCATCACATGATTTTAGGAACAAAAACATCACAATGAGGTGGAGGGAGAAGTCAATAGCAGCTCTATAATTAAGGCTATATTGACTTTTTCAGCTAAAGCTTGGTTTAAATTCTTGTTTAGGGAAAAGTATTGTTTTATGCAACACCAGCTATTTGCTTTCAGTGAACAGATTTAATTACCTAGAAAATTAGTTATGTCTGTTCTGCCCCTCGAGTTCAGAAAAGTTCAAATGCATTTTAGATTTGATGCCTAACTTTCCACGTGTTCTTTTGACTTATAACAGACTGTTTCAATACTTGAAACAGAAGCATTTACAGCAGCTGTCGCTCTACGTTTGGGCATGGCCTCACTGGGAAGTTTAGTATTATTGCTCAGCTTTTCCCACGTACATTGGGAGGATTTGGATTAGCCTTTTCTATTCACCAGTGACCAAAGGTTGCTGTGTGCTATGACAGACACTTTGACAATGCTCCTAACTGTGACCCAATCAGCCCAAATGATACAAAGGCATTCTCCTGAGGAAAGCACTTATCAGGTTTGACACAGATGACAAAATCTCTAAGTCATCCTGGAGGTCAAAATTAAGTCTGTTATTGAGACACGAATAAGGAGTGGGCAGATAAACAAGTACACCATCGTACAAGGTGTAGGTGAATGCAACTGAACTATTCACATACACCGCATTCACATACACCCCAATCCTACCGTCCGCCTGAACAGCTGCAGCCCGTTTCACCAGGTGGTCAGCAAGCTCCATAGCATCAGCAGGGCCAAGGGGAAGGTCCCGTGACAAACCAATCACCAGGATTCGCATGAGCGTATCTTCCAGGATGGGCACCTCAGAGCAGAGGCGAAGAAAGAAACTGAAGAGAGAGAAGGAAGTCAGTGGGTACTGCTGCCAGACAGAGACCTCACCTGATAGTGCTGCTCAGACAGGAAACCAGCATGAACAATGAGAATCTACCACAGCTCTGCTCAAAAGGCCAAAGAGTTGCTTGACTCCCCCCACATTTTAATCTCACTGTGAAACAAACTGCCTTTAGCATTCAGTTTGGTTGGACCACCTGCAGCTGCACCCTGCTGCCTAGGGCAGATTTCAGCTGCCCAGAGCAAGATGCATCACCACTCTCCCTGTAAGTGTAGCAGCACTGACAGCTGCCTGGCTCAGGGGATGGGTGAAGGAGGAAGAGAGCAAGCCAGAGGTTGGAGAATCCTTTGCCTAACGGCACTGCAATGCGCTGTGAAAATCAAATCAGAGCAGATGTCTCCAAGACGCATACAAAAGTCTAAGCACCCAAAGCATCTAGTCTTTCCCCCACTCCCCACTGCCAAAGCTCTGCCCAGGGCACCCCAGCTGGGCACACACTTACTTGCGGTCACTCTCAGGGGGCCAGTTGTCCCATTTGTAGTATGTCTCTGGTTGCTCTGTGAACAGCACCTTGTGGAGGCTGCAGAGAGGCATTAACAAAGAGGACAGTAACTGTTCCCGCAGCAAACTGCACATACCCACTTTGGGAACTTAGAGGAGCTGCCTCAGAACATGTGTTACATGGCCAGCAGCAGGACACCCCACAGCTGGGGTTGCTGGTGGGCATCTGACCTACTGCTTTGGTGAAGGCTGTTCCACTACAGCTACCTAGGGGCAGTTGGTAACCAACAGCGGTGGCAACTGTGGTGTGAACCATGCGTCTGTGATACCTCCATGGGAACCACTGACAGCCATCAGACAGAATCAGGTTTCAGCTACTACCGGCTCCAGCTCAATCCGAGCTTGAACCCTCTGATCTGTTACCAATACTGTGAACTATCTAATCCCTCTTCAAAGGGTGCACTCTGAGACAAGAGCATACTATCTGGTCACTGCCACATACAGGGCTTTCCAGCTGAAGAACCAGGCATCAGATCAAAAGCCCCACAATGTCCAGAAGACTTTCTCTGAAAGCATTACTGGATTATTACTACTGTGGATGTTCTCCAGCTGGCTCTGAGAGCTGGCTGAACAGAGAAGACAGTTGGAAAAGGTTTGTACTGATGTTTGCTGTTGGCAAAGGGGCTGTGTCTGAGTCCCTCTCTTGGGGTCATGACAGTGCTTCTGCTGCTTCAGTGATATGGGGGAAGAACTGATCCCCCCCCCCCGAGTGTATACACCATGGAACATGTGCTATAAGCTCAGCAATGATGCAGGACAAGAATGAAAAGGGGAGCTTTACTAGGTAATGCCTCTACCTCACTGACCCTCCTACCAGTGCACGTAGTCCTTTGGTGCCAGTTTGCTGATAGATGGAACAACAGTGTGGAGCCACCAAACAGCATCTCGCTGGATTGCTGCGATCTGGTTCTGGAAGGAGCGCAGCACCTCCAGATCTGAAATAAACACCCAGTATGTTACAGCTCCATTTTTTTTCACAGCCCCTTGGAAGAATGGGGGAGACCAGGCTGGTTGTCAGGAACAGCCATTTTGCAAGCATGTGGTCCCAGTGGGTCAGCAGCTACACTGATAAGTCCTCCTGTGAGGCTACCCCACACACCCACCAACATTTGCTGCCATGGGCAAGCAAGCCTGGTAGTCCCCTTCCCCTGTTACCAGCAGCACTGCTCCGAGTCATTCACCAGCTACTGGATTTACTGTCCCTCCAGTGCTCCCCAGCACACAACAGCAGGTTCATGTGGCTCCACCCTGCAGGATCTAGGAGTCCCTTTCCATGCCCAGATGCCACATTATTTCCCCAGTGCCAGCAGGATACATACTGTACATACCCCTTGTTGAGGGAAGGACCCCAGATTCCCAGGCTTACTCTTTTTCTCTCCTTTATCCCATGCAATCCCAGCCTCCTTCACTTGGGCCGTTATGCCGAGCATCATGGAGACAGCCAACAAGTCTGTTACATGGATGACAAATCGCTCCTAAGGGAAGAACAATGGGGTCAACAGTATTTCAGCTGCATCCCAGAGGCAAAGACCCAACTGAAAGGGCTGCTAGAGCTGCCTGGAAGATCAAGCTGGATGAGGAGGCAATGATGGCAAGTATCAATCAGGAGCCATCAAGACAGGACAGACAAAGAGAAGGGGAGAGGGATGAAGGGATGGTCATTGAACTGTAAGCACCAGTAAACAAGCTAGGTAGCCAGGATGTGGCTTCTTGGGCAGAGTCACAGGGGTACAGGCAAGCAGATGCATGAGCCATGGAATGAAGGTCAGGAGACCTTGCTGGAAGTCAAGCTGCCAAAGGGAGAATGCCTCAGTGAGTCTCCTCTGGACACTACCAGGAGAATCAGCCGCTGTGTGAGAAAGAGACGAGGTGATACCTTGAATTCCATGTCGAGATACTGGGGCTCCTTCCGCTCCTGCATGAGACCCAGGCAGAAAGCCTGGAAATTGATTTCATGCTTCGTTTGTTTGATGATCTCTCGCAGCAGCGCCCGTGAGGCCCGCAAGTAATCATCCTTGTTAGTCAGGAGATCCTGAAACACCATCGCCAGGTACTGGGACACAGAAAGGGACACAGGGAGAAACTCATTAGCGCCCAGCATCAACTGTCAGCATCCATGGGCAAATGGACAAGACATGTTGAAGCCCTGCTGGCATCAGTGCCACCTGCTCAGCCCACAGTAATGCTAGAATGAATTTGCTGAAGGGCTCCAAGAGAAAAGCTGCTCTCCAAAACATTTCTCACCAACATGTTGGCTGCACTGATGGCAAAGCCTGGAGTATGTGGGAGCAGGAAAGTACCAATGGACACCAGCTCCAGACACATCTGGGACTCAGATTTCCAAAAGAGGAATCTTACAGCCTCTCCCTGCAGTAAAGGTCTGGCTGAGTCCCTCTATCCCTTGGACAGAGAATGACAGGGTCCAGGAATCCAGCCAAGCAGCCGCCCCTACCTTTGGTGCTTGCTCCGAGCTGTGCTGCAGCACTGTGTACAGGATCTGCATGTTGTTGGGGTTTCTTGCATTGGAAAGTTCATTGAAAATCACAAACTTGATCATGGTGCCCAGGTTGTCTCGGTGCGCATTCAACAGCTCCCTGCAGGGGGAAGGCCAGAGTTGTCAGAGCAACCCCATGCTGGGGAATCCTCACCGCTGGGTACATGGGCCCTGTCTCACAGTTCACAGAAAACGCACCGCCAGCAGAACAGAAAAGCACCAAGTATGTCTAGCACCTGCTGGCCGATCTCCAGATCACCAACCTCTACCAATACTCGTTACTTTACATGCCCCAAAATGAGCTTCCGCAAGGTCATATCCCCTCTCCCAAACAGCTTTGTAAGCCCCTTGGCACCCTCCTGACTGCAAGATGCTGACATGCCCCTCACTGCCTGCTTACCTAACACACAGCATGTAGTGGTTGAGAAGAACTTTGGGCTTGAGGCGGATTTTGATCAGGTTGGAGATGACCTCCATGTCCTCGGAGCCATGAGTATTGCAGTTCATGCAGACCGACATGAGCAAGTCCTGGGCTGGTCTGGTCAGCTATGAGGGAACAGCAGGAATGGTCACGTCAGCCACTGTCACAGATGCCAGAGCTGGATGTTTGTGGCCCTGTAGGGCTGGACTCCCACTACACTCACCTTTGGGTTCTGCAGCCACATCTCCAGCCTCTGGACAGCCATGAGCCGCACCTCCTTGTATCCACAGGTTGCAGTTAGCAGGCGAAGGAGGTTCCTGGACACGTTATCCATGGGCTGGCGCCGGTTGAGCTGGTCTCGCAGCATGTCCAAGACATACTCTTCCACACTCTCTGCCAGATCCTCGTACCTGAGCCAGGACAGACAAGTCTCGCTGACTCCCACCCCCAACCCCACTGCCCTCTGCCAATGGACCTGTCATGCCTCAGCAAAGCCTGTAGACAGGGGCTCTTGCTGTAGGCAGCATGGATATCTGGCTGTACAGGAGTCAGTCCAGGCCACGCTGAAGTTACTGAGCAGTGCTGCCGGCAGACTAGGTCTGGCTGAAGGCAGAAAGCATCACTGCTGTGATAGGCAAGAAGCAAGCACTGTACCTGGGCATAAGCTGTCCCTCCTGCTCTGGGCTCATCTTCTCCTCTGCAATCAGTAGCTCACTCTGGCTGTCCTCCTCCTCTGGCATGGAGGGGTGGGGGCTACTCCCTGCAGATGGGCCAACACATGCTGTCACTACCTGGCAGAGCAGCTCCTAGGCTGATACTGCTTCCACAGATCCAGTGCTGGGGATGCCCCACCCCACCCCAACCCACTGCCTTTGCCTTCCCCAAGAGCCCTCTGACCAGCACCGAGGGACATTCTTCCAGGGCTCATCCATCACTTGGTTTCTTTTTCCACATTCCTCCAGTGCTTTACACTACCTGGAGGAACCACCAATCCCCTCCTTTGCCTGCCTTCTGCCAACCCCTCTGGTTCTGTCATCTCTCAGGGAAAAGGTGCACCAAATGGGACAGGCCAGCAGGCCCCTAGTCTGGACAAGGCCTTGCCTACATCCCCCTTCAGCTTGTCCCTAGACTCTCAGGGTCCACCCCCTCCACCAAGTTCCTTCATCGTGCTGCCCAGGTGCCCCCTCACCAGCGCTGAGGTCACCTCCGCTGCGCCCCACCTCCCCGTGCAGCAGCATGCTCTTTGGGGGCATCTTAGTGTTGAACGCTGTCTGGATATTCTCCACGAAGGTCTTGCAGTGAGGGCTGTCCACCCAGATGCGCTCCCCCAATGAGTCCTCAATGTACACCTGCCAGAGGGTGAGATGCCCAGAATGTGAGTGCAGCGAGATCCGTCTGAGGACTGGGCAGGGCCCAGCCGCAGCACAATCAGAGTACTTTACAGCCCACAACACATTCACCCTCACAGACGTGCCATGGGGCAGGAAAGGGTGGTCCCCACTGCACAAAGACAGACAACCTTCAGCAAGTCACTGAAAGGCTGCGGCAAAGCAGAACCTGAACTCGGACTAGTGCCTGGCCAGCAGACTGACCACAGAGTCTCCGCTCTCTGAAGGAAGCCACATCAAAAGGTTTAAGGCACCTACAGCCCCCAACCCAGGGGACTGGATCCTTGGGCTCAAGCAATGCAAGCTCATGTTTGTAATCCCATTGCCAATGACAGGCAATCCTGGAATATTTTACCCAAAGCCACACAACGGAAGGGAAATGGGGAGTCTCATAGGGGTGAAGATGAGCGAGAGTAAAAAGAGAGCGGGAGGCAGCAGCATTTCAGCTCTTAATGCTCCAGGGTGGCAAGTATTCCTCTGAGAAACAGACATCGTGTCCCCCTACTTCTGAACTCAGCCAGAGGCCTCGATGCACACCTGTCCCTTCTTCACACGGCTGCCTCCCCATCTCCCTGCGGCAGTGGCCCACTCTCCCCTCCACCAGCTACAGCACACGCCAGGCACCGCACTGCCCAAGCCAGGAACAGCAAGAAAGCCCCACGCACGGGGCAACAACCAGCAGAATGGCCCTCAGCCCACCAGACTCCCACATGCCTTCACAAAGATCTCCGGCCAGTTCTCATCCTCCTCGTAAGCCGCCATGAGAAGGTTACAAGCCAAGACCGACACCAGGCTGTTCCCTTTCGCTTTGAAGTTGATGGAGGCATCTCTCCGGAGAAGGCTGCACAGTGCCTGAGAGACAGGATGCGTTAGAGTTACACCCTCTGGGGAAACAAGATGACAGCTGGAAAAGAGGCAAGAGGAGGAAGCCCATGCAGCTCGAGCCACAAAGGCACTTGAGCAAATCCCACCGCACGCACGGACTGGCAGCGCCAATCCCACGTCCATGCGGGGCACCCCTCTCGAAGACTCGCAGTGCCGGTCACGCAGCCCATTCCTCACCTCAATGACGCCCTCGGTGGCAAATATGTTGGGCTTGATCTTGGCCAGGTACATGAGGCTCAGGTACAGGGTGGTGTCAGGTTTGGCCCTGTTCATCTTTAGCTGCTTCACAGCCCCGCACAGCACCCCCTCGATACGGTCGTCATTGCCCTCTGCCTCTGCCGCCTCGATCTCATCCAGCAGCACCGTGGGGACAACTATGGCGGCAAACGCACAGCGTCAGGACATGGCGAGAGGGACGCGAGCGCTTCCACCCGCCCCCTCCCCGCGACACCTGGGCGGGAGGAACACTCCACTAAACCGGCAGCTGCCCCCACTGCGCCCCTCTCCCGCCGCCTCTAGGCTGCGGGGACGGGCACCTTCGATGGGGATGACGGATGGCTCCTTGATGGAGGGCGAGATGGCGCGCTTCTCGGCCACGGCGGCCTCGGCCAGGCGGCCCAGCGCGCTGAGCGGCGGTGCGGGCGGCAGCTTGGGCCGCTTGGCCAGGCCGG